ATCGAAACTTCTCTTCTGTGACTTTTTAGAAAACAATATCACAATTACCTATGTAAAAATAAAAGTCTTAAACATTTTTTGTATATTATAGTGTTGCATTTAACAAATAAAATAACTATTTTTAAAACCATTTAAAATTCACAATAACACATTTCATATTGAAATTAGCCATTAAATTGTTGGAATTAATTGTCAAGTTATTGACACAATTTTTTTATTTTTTAATAGATAAATTCAAATGTTAAATGTCAAAAGAATGGATGCCACATGGCAGTCTCTCATAGTTTTGGTTTTGAAGAACTTTAAAATATTTCTAACACTAGAGATTGTCCACGCGTTGCGTGGATTTAAAAATTAACGTTATAAATAGGTAGTAATTTATAGCTTATTGATTATTTTTGTATTTAATATTACACAAAATCAATGTTATAGTAAATAATTATCTAGCTTAAAAGACTAAGCAATTTTAGCAAATTATTGGACATATACAACGTAATATGTGAAAAGAAATAAATTGTTCATTGATAAAAATTATAGCGTATGCATATGGAATATATCTTTTTTTGCACAAATCCACAAATTTTATGTTTTTATCAATATTCACTACGGTTCACTTAAAAAATTATTGGTCGTTTTTTTTCTTACATGAAATACGTTTGTAAAAAAAAATCTATTGATGAGATAAGTTGTAATATGTTTTGTTTGTATCGAGACATCTGCATCATCTCAACAGAGATGTTGGAATGCATCTTTGTGTTTTGTTTCGTTAGAACCTTAATTTGTAAGGAGAGAATAGTTGATGTTTGATTGTATTTTTGTCTCACTCTTTTTATCGTTTTGCTATGATTTTATCTTTCACATAGATTTATTGGATTATTATCTTTTTATGGATTCATCATATATGGTGGAGTAAAGTTTTTTTTCGAAAGTCTTGGTTAGAAACGCTACTTTATACAACACAAACTATTTTAATTGCATTAGGGGATAAGCAACAGTTCCATCACTAACTAATTTTTTGACACCATTTTCTTTTTTATGTTACGATTCTTTTTATTAAAGCTCTTTGTGACTTTTTGTTTTAAACCGTAGTTACCTATCTAAATTTTTAAATATTTTTGTATAGTGCATTGCTGGGTTTAATAAATAAAATATCTATTTTTTAAACTGTTAAAAGTTCACAATATCACATTTAATTTAATATGATAATTTTTTATAGATATCAAAACAAAACAAAAAGATAATTGTGGGATTGTAACTTGTGTCATTTATTCTTTTGAAATTTGTCTTTTAGAAAAACCTTAAAATATTAGTTTGATTGTATTTTTGTCACACTTTTTTATCGTTTTGTTATGATTTTTATCTTTCACATCGTTTTATTGGTGAATTATTATGTTTTTTTGGATTCAGCATATATGGTGGAGTAATGTTTTCTTTCGAAAGTCTTGGTTAAGAAAGCTACTTTATCCAACACAAACTCTTTTAATTGCATTAGGGGATGAGCAACAGTTCCATCACTAATTAATTTTTTGACACCATTTTTTTGTTGATGTTACGATTCTTTTTATTAAAGTTCTTTGTGACTTTTTGTTTTAAACCGTAGTTACCTATCTAAATTTTTAGTATTTTTTGTATAGTAATTTGCTGGGTTTAATAAATAAAATATCTATTCTTTAAACCGTTAAAAGTTCACAATATCACATTTAATTTAGGATGATAATTTTTTATAGATATCAAAACAAAACAAAAAAAGATAATTGTGGGATTGTAATTTGTGAGAATTAATTGGTTATTAAAAGACACTTAATTTTCTTTTTCTTTTC